GTCCATTTCAAGCATTGCCCGAAGGTCGTCCTTGGTTGCATTGCTTCGCTCTCGGGATCTTCACAGCACGCATCCCCGTTATTAGGTTCCCGCTTTCCGCCCTTTGTCTCCGTGAATTTCACGTCATCTTTTCAAACCGTAGCGTCCGAGGACAGCGCGCGATCTATATCGCGTACGAACCATAGATCGACAAGAGCCAGGGAGATCTGCCACGTGGCAAAATCCTCGTCATTTGCCGCAAGCGTTAGGAAATCAAGGGAGTATAGGGTACATAAAGAGTTAATCGAATCACGGGGGTTCAGCAACTTCAGGGAATATAGAGAAGCTAAACAATTGCCGGAATATCGGAAGGATTTGCACCGTGACGTTGCTGAGTCATCTTCGCGCGCTATGATGCGGCGGGGCAGGGGGCCGAACAGCCAGAAGCGGGGCGGACGCGGAGGCGGAAGGGGTGGCGGAAGGGGCGGAGGGAGAGGCGGAAGGGGCGGGGGAGGAGGGGGAAGGGGTGGGGGGGGAGGCGGAGGCGGAGGGGAGCAGCGATGGTGGGATCCGGCGTGGCGCGCGGAGCGATTAGCGGCGATGGGGAAGGAGGTGAGGGGGAAGGGAGGACGTGGGGGGGAGGGAAGGGGGAGAAGGGGAGGGGAGGAGGTGAGGGGGAGGGAAGAGGTGAGGGAGAAGGGAAGGAAGAAGTATGGAGAGGGAAGGAGGGGAGAGAGAAGGGGAGGAGAGGAGGTGAGGGGGAGGCGAGGAGGTCAGGGGGAGGAGAGGAAGAAGGATGAAAGATTGAAGGATGATAGGTGCTGGAGGAGGAGGGGGGAGACAGGCCGTATTCTGATTCCCACCCAGAGCCCCATCCCCATCCCCATCCCCATCCCCATCCCCATCCCCATCCCCATCCCCATCCCCATCCCCATCCCCATCCCCATCCCCATCCCTATCCCCATACCCATACCCATACCCATCCCCATCCCCATCCCCATCCCCATCCCCATCCCCATCCCCATCCCCATCCCCATCCCCATCCCCATCCCCATCCCCATCCCCATTCCAATCCCCATCCCCATCCCCATCCCCATCCCCATCCCCATCCCCATCCCCATCCCCATCCCCATCCCCATCCCCATCCCCATCCCCATCCCCATCCCCATCCCCATCCCCATCCCCATCCCTATCCCCATACCCATACCCATACCCATCCCATCCCCATCCCCATCCCCATCCCCATCCCCATCCCCATCCCCATCCCCATCCCCATCCCCATCCCCATCCCCATCCCCATTCCAATCCCCATCCCCATCCCCATCCCCATCCCCATCCCCATCCCCATCCCCATCCCCATCCCCATCCCCATCCCCATCCCCATCCCCATCCCCATCCCCATCCCCATCCCCATCCCCATCCCCATCCCCATCCCCATCCCCATCCCCATCCCCATCCCCATCCCCATCCCCATCCCCATCCCCATCCCCATCCCCATCCCCATCCCCATCCCCATCCCCATCCCCATCCCCATCCCCATCCCCATCCCCATCCCCATCCCCATCCCCATCCCCATCCCTATCCCCATACCCATACCCATACCCATCCCCATCCCCATCCCCATCCCCATCCCCATCCCCATCCCCATCCCCATCCCCATCCCCATCCCCATCCCCATCCCCATCCCCATCCCTATCCCCATACCCATACCCATACCCATCCCCATCCCCATCCCCATCCCCATCCCCATCCCCATCCCCATCCCCATCCCCATCCCCATCCCCATCCCCATCCCCATTCCAATCCCCATCCCCATCCCCATCCCCATCCCCATCCCCATCCCCATCCCCATCCCCATCCCCATCCCCATCCCCATCCCCATCCCCATCCCCATCCCCATCCCCATCCCCATCCCTATCCCCATACCCATACCCATACCCATCCCCATCCCCATCCCCATCCCCATCCCCATCCCCATCCCCATCCCCATCCCCATCCCCATCCCCATCCCCATCCCCATCCCCATTCCAATCCCCATCCCCATCCCCATCCCCATCCCATCCCCATCCCCATCCCCATCCCCATCCCCATCCCCATCCCCATCCCCATCCCCATCCCCATCCCCATCCCCATCCCCATCCCCATCCCATCCCCATCCCCATCCCCATCCCCATCCCCATCCCCATCCCCATCCCCATCCCCATCCCCATCCCCATCCCCATCCCCATCCCCATCCCCATCCCCATCCCCATCCCCATCCCCATCCCCATCCCATCCATCCCATACCCATCCCCATACCCATCCCCATCCCATCCCCATCCCCATCCCCATCCCCATCCCCATCCCCATCCCCATCCCCATCCCCATCCCCATCCCCATCCCCATCCCCATCCCCATCCCCATCCCCATCCCCATCCCCATCCCATCCCCATCCCCATCCCCATCCCCATCCCCATCCCCATCCCCATCCCCATCCCCATCCCCATCCCCATCCCCATACCCATCCCCATCCCCATCCCCATCCCCATACCCATCCCCATCCCCATCCCCATCCCCATACCCATCCCCATCCCCATCCCCATCCCCATACCCATCCCCATCCCCATCCCCATCCCCATCCCCATCCCCATCCCCATCCCCATCCCTATCCCCATCCCCATCCCCATCCCATCCCCATACCCATCCCCATCCCCATCCCCATCCCCATCCCCATCCCCATCCCCATCCCCATCCCATACCCATCCCCATCCCCATCCCCATCCCCATACCCATCCCCATCCCCATCCCCATCCCCATACCCATCCCCATCCCATCCCCATCCCCATCCCCATCCCCATCCCCATCCCCATTCCAATCCCAATCCCCCTCCCTCGTTCCACCTAACTCTTTTCCGCCTCCTAATTTCCTTCCCCCACTGTTCCACCTCCCCCTGTTGCATCTCCCCCTGACCCACCCCCCCCTGTTCGACCTCCCCCTGTTCCTCGTCCCCCTGTTCCGCCTCCCCCTGTTCCGCCTCCTCCTGTTCCACCCCACCCCACCCCCACCCTTCCTTGTTCCGCCCCCCCCCTGTTCCGCCTTCCCCTGTTTCGCCTCCCCCTGTTCCGCCTTCCCCTGTTCCGCCTCCCCCTGTTCCGCCTCTCCCTGTTCCACCTCCCCCCAGAGAGGCCCGGCAAAGCAAGTGGACGGAGCAGCATGGGCGACACGCTTTCGGCAGCTGGCAGCAGGGGGTGGTGCGGTTGGGAGCGGTGCAGTGGCGAATGGTGCGGTGGGGAGCAGTGCAGTAAGGGGAGCAGCAGGAGTGCAGCAAGGGGGGAGCACTCCAGAGGAGATTGTGATAAGAGAGAACTATGGGAGGGAGGGCACGGAGCAATTGGCGTTACTGGCAGAGCAAGCAGGGCTGTACTTGTGAGTGAGTGGGAATGGATGTTGCGTGGAAATGGGTTTGGGGTGGTGTAGAGCGGTACTCGTGGGTTGCTGAGGAGAATGTGATTCGGGAGAACTTTGGGAGGGAGGGCACGGAGCAATTGCAATTACTGGCAGAGCAAGCAGGGCTGTACTTGTGAGTGAGTGGGAATGGATGTTGCGTGGAAATGGGTTTGGGGTGGTGTAGAGCGGTACTCGTGGGTTGCTGAGGAGAATGTGATTCGGGAGAACTTTGGGAGGGAGGGCACGGAGCAATTGCAATTACTGGCAGAGCAAGCAGGGCTGTACTTGTGAGTGAGTGGGAATGGGTGCGGCGTGGTGTAAGCTTTTAACCCAGAACCTTAAACCCGCAAACTTAAAACCCAAACCACAAACCCCGGCTTTGACATAAACCAGGGTTTTTGCGACGGATTTATGACATAAACCCTGGCTTTGACATAAACCATTGACACCCTGAGCATAAATCGGCGGGTTTTTGCCGCTCTTGTCCCTTTTCTTGCTCGTGCACTCCGACGTGTGGGAATCACTTTCAAGAGTTCTCAAAAGGGAGAATTCTCGAAAGTAAGTCGTCGGGTTTTAGCCGCTCTTGTCCCTTTTCTTGCTCGTTCACTCAGACGTGTGGAGGGGCGCTGGCACTGGACTTTTGAGTGGCTCAACTTCTGAGGCCCCTGGCGCCTCAAAATCTTGGTGGTAGTGATTTCTTAGTTGTCTCAAAAGAGATTCATGAGAAGGGCATTGGGTCTACGGTAGTGGCTTACAAGGTGCCTTTTCTGAGCTATCAACCCATTTTTACAATCTCTATCAACCCATCCTTGTTCTCTTCCGTTCTCTCCTCGCATTCTTGCAGCCAAACATACGGCAAGGGCACCGGGACCGTAGCAGTGGCCAGCAGGGTGCCTCTCCCCAGCTACCGGGCTGATCTGGACGACAAGCACGGGCGGTCGGAACGACAGGTGAGATTCTCGTTCCACTCAGATTGACTCTGCATTGGCACTGCAACTAGGGATGAGCAAGTGGCGAACACGAACGTGTTCGAGGCGAACCGAACAGGTGTTCGTTTTTTTGCTCAACCCTAACTGCATCGGCACCAGAACTGCATCAGCAGGGTGCCTCTTCCCAGCTACCGCGCTGATTTGGACGACAAGCACGGGCGATCGGAACGACAGGTGAGCTCTTTCCCTTTTCAACTGACTCTGCAACGGCTCTGGTACTTTAGCAGTGGTCAGCAGAGCCGGGTGCCACTCCCCAGCTACCGGGCTAATCTGGACAACAAGCATGGACGGTCGGAGCGACAGGTGAGCTTCGAGTTTGATTTTTTTTCCGCTCTTTTTCTCTCCCAACTCTCCATCCTCTTCTCTCATAATTCTATTGATGCTACTCCAAGCCCCCTTCCTTCTCCCCTTGCTAGACCCTTCCTTCTCCCCTTGCTAGACCCTTCCTTCTCCCCTTGCTAGACCCTTCCTTCTCCCCTTGCTAGACCCTTCCTAGTCCCGTTTCGTCCCTCCTTGACCTCTCCTCCGTCCCCTTCTCATTCTTCTCATCCTCTCATAATCCAACCTCCCGCCTTCATTTGATAGAGGTGAGCCAAGCTGTTTGACCTGACCTCCAATAGAGTGCTACAGATGTAATGTAACGCTGGTGCTGACCTATGTAATTTTGGATTGATAAAAACCATTGTGGAATGAATTTTTCTTGTACGGTACTGTACATTGTGAAAGAGGAGCCGGGGATGGGGGAAGGGGGTACTGGTGATGCATAATCATACTAATAATGGCAGCTGGGGTGATTATTAACGGCTTGGGAGGGGATGAGGTGAGGAATAGTCTGTTTCAGCTTAAACATCATACAGTACATTACAAACATGGTCCAAGGCATACGATCCTTCAAGGCTATCAAGACGGCATCTTTCCAATGACACGCCACAACCCGTTGCTGATTTCCTACTATTCAACTCGTTATTCCAGCTAATCTTACCTAGTACCGCAAACCTCCCCTACTCCGCTGTCAGTCATCCCAATCCAGCATTTGCCGTGGATGCTTAAACCCCAGTGCCGTAACAACTGTTAATTAACAAACATCTTAACTTGCCCTACTCATCTCGCTCCAGCATTTGCTACGGATGCATCAGCCCCCGTAGCAGCAGTTGGTGGTTTCTTGGGTGCAGTGTGGGAGACATAGGGCTTGAGCTGTTGGGAGGACAGCGGGTGGAAGAGGTGAGGAGAGGGAATGGAGGGGTGAGGACATTGTTGTTGGTGGTTTCTTAGGCGCAGTGTGGGAGACATAGGGCTTGAGCTGTTGGGAGGACGGCGGGTGGAAGAGGTGAGGAGAGGGAATGGAGGGGTGAGGACATTGTTGTTGGTGGTTTCTTAGGCGCAGTGTGGGAGACATAGGGCTTGAGCTGTTGGGAGGACGGCGGGTGGAAGAGGTGAGGAGAGGGAATGGAGGGGTGAGGACATTGTTGTTGGTGGTTTCTTAGGCGCAGTGTGGGAGACATAGGGCTTGAGCTGTTGGGAGGACGGCGGGTGGAAGAGGTGAGGAGAGGGAATGGAGGGGTGAGGACATTGTTGTTGGTGGTTTCTTAGGCGCAGTGTGGGAGACATAGGGCTTGAGCTGTTGGGAGGACAGCGGGTGGACGAGGTGAGGAGAGGGAATGGAGGGGTGAGGACATTGTTGTTGGTGGTTTCTTAGGCGCAGTGTGGGAGACATAGGGCTTGAGCTGTTGGGAGGAAAAGAGGTGGAACAGAGGGGAAGGGAAGATAGGGAAGAAAGGTGGTGAAATTCCCAGCACATGCTACGGATGCTGCAGCCCCCGTAGCGGATGTAGGTGGTTTCTCGGGTGCAGTGTGGGAGACATAAGGCTTGAGCTGATGGGAGGGAAAGAGGTGGAACAAGGGAAAGCATGAAGGGGGGAGAGGGGAGTGTGCAGGCAAGTAAAGTTTCACAGGCAGAGGAGAGCGGAGAGTGCGGAGAGTGCTTTTGAGGCGCCTCAAAACTCAAAAACCTTTGAGGTGCCTCAAAACTCAAAAACCTTTGAGGTGCCTCAAAACGCCTCAAAAGTTTCACAGGCAGAGGAAGGCGGAGAGTGTGGAGAGGAAGGAGAGTGTGGAGAGTGAGGAGAGTGCGGAGAGTGAGGAGAGTGCGGAAAGTGCGGAGAGTTCAACCTCAAAGAGCCTGGCAATGTGAGAGGTGGGCGCTTGGGGTGGAAGGTTGACACATCAGAGAATTCACCAAGCAGGCGCCATGGGAAGGAACCACGCAGAGGGGTGATTGGCCGTTATGAGTCAGTATTTGAGTCGACTGAAAAACAGACTCATCACAGGCGCCATGGGAAGGAAGGAAGCACGCAGAGGGGTGATTGGCCGCTATGAGTCTGTTTTTGAATCGACTCGAAAACAATGTGACTTTTGAGTCGACTTAAAAGTAACCATGCATAGGTGATTGGCCGTTATGAGTCTGTTTTTGAGTCAACTCAAAGACAGAGTCATCGCAGGCACCATGGGAAGGAACCACGCAGAGGTGATTTGACGTTACATGGCAGTTAGAGAGGTTTGGCATCAGCAGTTACGTGGAAGGCAGCAGGAAAATACCTGGAAGTTACTGAGGTCTGGAACCAGGAAGGTTGGCATCTTCTCTTCCATGAGAATGTAACCACCTGCAGGGAGAGATGAGAGAGAGTGGTTGGAAGGTATCAGATGAACGGTTGAGATTAATGGAGGGGATAAAGAGTCGGGTAAGCAGGTATGTAGGCATCCTCTCTTCCATGAGAATGTGACCACCTGCTGGAAAATGAGACGTCCCAAAACTCAACTTTTATCACGTGCCCATTCGCGACTCCCTCTAACCTTGCGTTATTTTTCCCTGTCAAAGGAGCTTCTCAGCATTTTACCCTCCCCATAACCCCCCCTCCTGCCCACTTCCTTCACAGTCCCCCTCTTCCAATTCCCTCCCAAACCCCTCCCTCCGTTTTCCCCATCACAACCCTCCCTCCCCCCTGCCCCCCAGCCCCCTGCCCAACCCCTCTCCCCTGCCCCCCTCTTTCCCAACCTCCAATCCCCCCCGTTTTCCCTCCTTCGCCCTCTTCACCCTTCAGCCACCCGCACCCACGCCTCCTCTCGCATCAACCCACCTTCCCCCGCCCCACCCCCCCCCACCCCCCCACTCCCATTCACCTTTCTTTGTGTGTCGTCCCATAGTGCGACTCCCCGTCCCCTTACAATAGTTCTTCGGGCCGCGCTTCGCTGTTAGATACTTGAATCCCTTAGCCGGCACGGATCGCCCTCGCAGCAGCCCCGTCAGCACGTTCAACATCGCGTTGTCGACAACACGTGTCTGATCGCTGACACGTTGGCACGCGACGCGTCAGTAAAACGAACACTGAAAACGTTTAGTGTTCTCTTGAGTGACGTTTCAGAATCTCAGCGTTCGATAAGCGCCGATCTGGTAAAGAACATCACCAACTGCCAGGCAGGCCCGACCTTGAATCTTCAAGCGGCTAAACGGCATATAATACGGCGCCAGCACGGAAACTACGGCGGTCGATGGGGAGGATCACGCAGGCACATGCACGCACGCTCTCGGCCGCACGGAAAGTGGGGAGATCCAGGCTGCGACAAGCGGCGCGTGGGTTACGCCAGCTTTTGCGGTGGTCTCTGGATGAAAAAGACAGAGATGACCTTGGTGCCTTTGGAGCTAGGGTGTGTATGCGAACTATAAGCACTTTGCGGTTCGTCACCAGTGGTTGGCAATCGCAAACCTTATTGCTTGAGTGGATCTAGGTTATATCGAATCATTTCGTCACACTCGAACAGACGAATCTACATTGTTATGAGTTGTAAAAGAGAGTGCGCAGGTAAACGAATAACGAAGCTGTGACTGAATCAACTGCGAATAAAATGAATGCACAGACTAATGTAGGACTACTCTAGCTAGGAGGAAACCTCGGACGAGCGAGGTTGGGTGCAGGTTTGGCGATGGGAAAGCCGAGGGCGACGTGAGGAGCCTCGGCAGCGTTGAAATCGGCCGAACGTGCGAACTCCGAAAATCGGGTTGTACGCGAAGCAGTTAACCCCGATAAGGAATTCGGGAAAATTCCTTACACCACCCCCCCCCCCCTCAAGAAAGGTAGTCAATAGCCGAAACACGCCGTCGCGCCAGATAATCACCAACAAGCGTCGAGGCGTCCAGTGAAGCGGATGGCACCCACGTGTCGTCCTCACTGGTGCGGTCGGTCCAGCGAATTAAGAAATCCATGTGGCGTCCAGTGGCGTCAAGGCGGACCCGATGAGCGAGAATCTTGGAAGGGTCAAGGGTTGGCTCAGGGACGGGGCGAGCCGTCGGGGCCGCTTGCTGACGTGCGATGTCGGTCGTGGTAGGCACGAACTTACGAAGAAGGCTGATGTGGAACGCGTCATGTATATGTCAATCGTCGTGTAGCAACAGCTTCGCGGTAACAGGTTTCATCATCTTGAGAATTTTGAACGGTCCGCAAAATCGTGGCCGAAGTTTCGCAGGGCCGGGCAGGTTCAGGTTTTTCGTGTCGAGGAGGACTAGTTGCCCAGTAGTCAAGACGAGTTCCCGGCGAAGGAGGTTGGTGTATTTGCGGGAAGTAATATTCGCTTTGCGAATTGCGTCGGCGGCTTTTTCGCGAACTTCCTGGAGTTCCGTCACGAAAGTCTGGGAACGTGGGACCGGATTGTCGAGTGTAGTTGTCGTCGGAACCGCCGGGTCCATCCCATAATTCAGGAAAAATGGGGAGTGATTAGTCATGCTGGATGGTGCGTTGTTGAAAGCGAATTCCAGCATTGCGAGCGATTCTTCCCAGCGGGCAGGATCGGGGCAGTTTGTCCTGATTAACTGCTCCATGGTCTGGTTGGTCCGCTCTGTTTGACCGTCGGTCTGTGGGTGGTAAGCCGATGAGAACTGTAGCTTCGTGCCGTATTGCGCCCATGTCTCCTTCCAGAATTTGGATGTGAATTTTGGGTCGCGGTCGCTGATGATCGCTGAAGGGATGCCGTGCAGTCGCACGGCCGTCGATATGAAAAGTCGCGCAGTTTCTTCGGCTGTGATTGTCGTTCGGCATGGTGCGAAGTGCGCCATTTTCGTGAAGCGGTCGACGACGACGAGAACAGCGTCGTTGCCTGTCGGCCCAGCTGGCATCCCCGTGACAAAATCCATCGTCACTTGTTGCCACGGTCGTTCGGGTGGCTCGAGGGGTTGCAGCAATCCAGCTGGTCGCTGACGTGTCGACTTCATTGCTTGGCACACCCTGCATGAGGACACATAGCGCTGCACGTCGTTAGAGGAATCAGGCCAGTAATAGTGACGGTGCAGTAGTTTCTGTGTCTTATCGACCCCGAAATGTCCGGAGAGGTTTGAATCGTGTATCTCCTAGATGAGAAGCTCACGCAGCAGACGGTAAGCGGGAACCCAAATCCGGTCGGTTCCGGCTTTTAGGTAATAATCCCCTTTTTGCGTCGTAGCCTGCTGATGGTTTGCCGTTGTGAAGAAGGGGTCTGTCGTGTAGCCGTGGGTGAATAGTCCGGTAAGTAGCGGGTTCGAGTGGGTGATGAGTACTGCAGCGGATTGTACTGTCGGTCGGGTCAG